TTGATTATAAACTTGTACTGATATTCAAGATGTTTTAAAAAGGGAGTTTTATTATTTATATTATCCCGAGTATGGGATATTGGAAAGTTTATTTAACAGGATTTATTCCTTGGATCTTTGGATTTTCAACTCCCACTATGCGGAGTAAGTTGAAGACTATGTACTTTGTATGACCTAGTCTTTCCCCTTGATAGCACTATGTAAAGGAGTTACTAGCTTGGGGGGTGTGCACACTTAGATGGTAAAATGATTTACGAAAATAAGGATTGATCCATCCTATTCGGAATTATCTTTGGAAAGTTGGTTATTTCGAAAATTGGTTCTTTTGACAAGTTTTTATACATGAATTTCTGTTCAGGAATGGTTTGGATAAATTATGATTTATTAAAGTTAAATCTCTTTGAAAGCATGTTTAATTAATTAAATTGATTTTACATGTCTAGCATTTGTATGTACTTAGCATTTTGTCTAATACGTATTTGTTTTGGCTTGGCCCTACTTATCATTTTGATAAGTAGATAGGTGATGGCGATCGGACAACGTGAACTATATGCTGCATTGGGAATGATGGATGCTGATCACCTAGTTTAATTTAGTATACATAGTATTAGTGGTGTAGCTATTTTGAAAGTGTATCAAACTATTATCATTACTATTATTATTAATGAAAGTTAAGTACTATTTTCCGCTGCAAAACTCTGTTAAACCTTACGTAATCATGTGGCGGTAATACTCCCATGTTACTCCCTAAAGTTGGACTATTATTGTAAATTTTAGAGCGTAATTTGGGGGTGTTACAACTATGTGTAAAATGGGTGGAGTTTGCTTTGGTTCTTATATGAGTACCATGTATAGCTGATCATTACTTAATTTGATTGATGAGCATGAGTGTAAGGTCGTTTGGCTTCTGTACTATATTTGGAAGATTTTTGAGTAAAGTATATTATTACTATTTCTCTTAAATTATTGAGTGTAAGAAGCCATTGGGCTGCGGGATTCAATGGTTAGAACATGCCAACTACTTGGGCTGCGGGATTTAAGTAGTATCACCTGGGTTAATTGTTGTCGTCCGGAACTACTCGGGCTGCGGAATCCGAATAGGAAAACCGGGATTTTGGTCATTCTTAGACACAGACGGCTGCGGGACCATCTGGAGGTTCGCCCTGACAAACCTTGGAAGTGAGCTGCGAGATCCACTAGCGTTCATTTCTACCTCAATTCACATTTGTTTGAATAATCACTTAAACTATGAGTCTTAAACTATGAGTCTTAAATAATAACTCGTGTTATTTCTCTTAGGAAGTTTAATTGTTATGTTATGAATTGTCATGTTTCTTGGTTGCATTCTAATGGCATAGTCTTTCACATATGCTTTGTGATTCTTTGTTTTAGGCGTTTTTTCACGTAGTGAATTGAACTCCAATTTCACGCTTACGAACCCTAGATATTGGGAATTTCAATGGATGTGAAAAGAAAATAAAATAAAGAAATTCTTTTAAAAAAAAAAGGAGCAAATTGTGTACACAGTTCCAGAATATCAAAGATTAGAAACATGTAAATTCTTTTAACAAACAAATCTGGAGAAAAATTATGTATGAAGAGATAAACATTATGAAGAACCCTAGAAATTGGGGATTTGTGAAACGTAAACTAAAAACAAAAATTTTAACAAAATTTGAAGCTATTTGATTCCATAAACTCAGAATATTAAATTTTTTGACATGTAAAGTATTTTAATAAATAAAATTTGGGAAAACATTTTTTAAAAAAATGATAGGAACATGAAGAGTAAGAACAATGGAGGAGAGAGGGGAGAGGAGAGAGAAGAGAAAAAATTAGACCCAAAAAAAAAGGGGCTGGTGTTTGGTCGAAATGAGAGAGGATAAAGATTGGGGTGGTTGGGGAGAGTGGGTCCCAGGTTCATTTGAATTTTGAATCTGAAATTTCAAATGAAATTTCATATTAGGATTTTTTTGGGAGTTAAATGTGCAACCAATGGAAATGTGATACATCACTGGTGTATGTGGGGGCTACATACACTCAGTGTATGTGTAGCCTTTGCGCACAAATTGAGAAGATTTTAAGCACAAAAATCGAGGCAATAATTAAAATGTAAAGTAGAATTGATTATTGGACAACTATGATTTATTAAAGTAATTTACCAATTTATGTTGCGTTTTGTTCACCTTTATCAAATAAGTTTTAGGTCTAATATATTCAAATAAGATTTTATCATATTTATTGAGTTTAATAACTTCTAATAAATTTTAGTTCAATCAAATTGATATAGTATAAAAAATATTCCTAAGCCTCAATCATTGGAGCCAACGCCGTGACATAGAGGTCACGGGTTCGAATCTCATCCACCCCTTCTTTAAAGTGGAATTAATTTGCGCCAGGTTTAGGAGAATCTATGCTTAAAACTTGATTGTAAATTTTTTTGGTCAAAGCCAAGAACCTTTATTAATTCACTTATTACCATCTAATTTCCCCCATTTCTTAATTACCCTCTAACTCAATTAATTATTTAACAATTAAATTTATTTATAAATAAAAAAAGAAAAATGCTATACATAGCCTTAAAATTGTTCAAATTTAGAAAATCATGACATAAACACACTAATTACACTAGTTTACGTGTGTTATTGTCATGAATTCCTAATTTTATACTCCATCCGTCCTTAAATTAAATTCCTACTTCTATCATTTATTCCTCACATAATAGAGAGAAGTAGGAATGTAATTTAGGGATGGATGGAGTACAATTTTCAAGAGTGATTTTAATGCTTATATAGAGCCCTAAGGGCTATGTTTAACATTACCCATAAAGAAATAATTAAAAAAAAAAAAAAACCACCACCACCTCCACCAGCCAATTCAACCATCCTCTTCATGCGACACTCCTTCTCCCTCCCCCGAGCTTCTGCTTAATACCCCCACCCCTATTGACCCATCTCCATCAACAATCGACCCCTCTCCCTCTCTTCCTCACACTCCATTACAAATTTACAACTTATTACTTATGGGGCATATGCTATTTGAAGATGCCCCTCTTCCTTTCCCTCCTCACTACAAATTCATTTAGATCAATATAATAATAATGCACAATCCTTTTCAATACAAATTGGCTTTAAACAGATTTTCCATTAAGGTGAAAATGCTTTGCAATTATCACAAAACACTTAAAACATAATTATACCACAATAATTATATTGATATTAAAAAAATTATATCTCACTGATATTGCTTATAATATTCAAAACTCAAGAAAAAAAAAAAAGAAAAAAAAACTACATTATACTTGTATATTATTAACTATAAACTATTAACTTCCCACACAAGTGCATCGACATACTACATTAAAACTAAAAATTGCAAATTCATTGCAAAACTGAAAACATATCTTCTTCAACCCTTACAACTTCAGATTAATTATATTTCTTTGTAAAAACCTTTTCATCACATATAACATATTCCTTGTTTACTGGGTATAGTATAGCTATATTAAATCAAGAGAAAAAATTTCGATTATACAATTTAAACCTGATAAATTACTTTATAACTTTTCTCCAATGTTGCCCAAAAAAGTTTCAACCTTCTTACTTCAATTTCAATTCAATGAATTTCTTGAATTTCATTTTCCATTGCCATAGAAATTGTTTTTTAAAACTACAGAACAATATCTTGCTAGAAGAAGTAATATTTTGGGAAATTCTACATGGTGGCCTCAAGGATTTAGTTTTTCTACGTGGAAGACGAAGTTTTTTCCAACTCTCTTAAGTGGCCCCAAGGTTTTCAAGAATTATGCATAGTGCCCAATTTTTGATTTTTTTGGCTAATTTTTTTTAATTTTTGGTTAACCATATTGAATAATTTTATTTTTTTTTAAAAAAAAAAAACCACCTGCCAAAGTGCCCAAACCCCACTGGCACCACCACCTCGCCGGCCGGATCCCTAACCCTACAACCCAACCATCGGCAACTCCTTTTCCCTTCATCGGCCAGCCACACACTTTCCTTTTCCCCTATCCCGATTTGACCCTCTCCCTTACCGGAACTGCAGAACGAACACCCAAACCAAAACCCAAACCTCAACGAATTTGGGGTAGTTTAGGCTATGGGGATCTGGGTTTGGATTATGAGTTTTAGTTTTGGGGTCGCTGGCTAACGATGGAGGAAGGGGAGGTCGAATTGGGAGAGGGTCGTCGGCTCGCGGTGGAGGAAGGGGATGTCGAATCGGGAGAGGGGCTTGAATCGGAGGAGGGGCTTGAATCGAGGGAAGGGCTCACGGTTGTGTGGTTGGCCGGGGAAGGGAAAGGGAGTGGTTGGAATTGGGCTGGTCAGTCGGTCGGCGAGGGGGGCGGTTGGGCTGTGGGGTTAGGGTTCCGGTGAGGTGGTGGTGGTTGGGTTGGTAATTGTTTTTTTTTTTTTGGCTTTTATAAATTTTATTGTTTATAAAATTATTTTTTAATAAAAAAAAAAATCAAAGGTTAACCATTTTAATTGTAAAGGTTAGCCAAAAACCTAAAAAAAGGACACTATGCATAATTCTTCAAAACCTTGGGGCCACTTATGAGAGTTAGAAAAACTTCGTCTTCCACGTAGAAAAACTGAATCCTTGAGGCCACCATGTAGAATTTCCCTAATATTTTTTTAACAAGATGGGGCCATAATTTCATCCACAACTCCTTTACTGCTGCTTTTTTCTTAGGCGGGAAACTCTCAAGCGTTTTACCACTCAACTCTCCCGCTCAACTCTCTCTTTTTTTTTTTTTACAATGCTGACGTGTCACCTCCCCTAACATACTAACAAGTACCAACATACTTATTATAACGACATCATTGATAAATAACCTTGGCCGTAAAATTGATAAATAACCTTTGACTCATACATGATTCTTTTCGTTTTACCTTTTTTCACAAGTATATACAGTTCTAATGCATAAATTTGCCCATTTATTGGATTAGTGTGAGAAAGGACTATATTTACAAGAACTCGAATTCCATGCAAGTGAAATTCCATCATTAATTAGGGACAAATAATTGTCCAAGAATGCAATTCAGCCATAAGATTTACACCTACCTTTTATCAGATTGCAGGAGGACAAGAAAGATGAGTATTATGGACATTAGAGAGATGAAAACTCGTCTCGAAAGAAATAGTAGTACAAAAGGAGCTATCAATGACCTTCACTTCTACACTCGTCTAATACGATATGATGTAAAGTTTATTCTAAACCGTTCTTCCACCAAATGTTATTGTTCTCACCTATATTTCCTTTTCAAACTTTGAAAAGTCGGCCTAATCAGGTTGCTGGGGGAAGTTAAACCTTTATCTGCAGCATCAATGTCTATTACAGAATGATGGCGTTCTGTTATTCCATTATTTCCATTCGCAGCCAAGCCACTCAGTATCTTATGAGTATCAGCCTTGGTGTTGATCTGTCTAGGGTTACCCAGCCTTTCTAGTATGATTGAAGTTCTCGTGTCCAGTGGTTTATGAATTGCTGGCGCAGATATTCTTGCCTTCTCTAAATTGGGTTCTGAAAGCTCTGAGCCCATTCTCGGAATACCACCAACAATTAGCTGCTCCCATTCTTGTGTAAGACGTGAGATACTCTTGTCATCTTCAATAGCCTGATCAGATGTACGAGTTTGCACTGTCACAGCTGCAATGTCTTTCCCTGATGAAACTGCAACCTCTGCCCCTGGTAGAGCTGCCACATTTCTCGCTACACTAGGTTGCAATGAGACTGCTACATCATCAATGCAGGTAGGAATTAAGGGTGTAGTTGAAATTTCTGGGGCTAACAGGCTGCAAAAAGGAAAAAGATAAGGCCACAGCCCACAGCTAAGTTCCAAAATGGGAACAAAGATCGGACAATTTTGAAAATACAGATTGTACAAACCGTACCACTAGTTAAAATATAAGAAAATGAAAGGAGCCAAATGTGTGAAATTCATGCTAAGGCAGTTGGGCATCTAAAGACACTGTAAAACTTATATTTCTAACAGACAAAACAGTACAGTAGGTTGCTATAGCATATAACGAGAGCGTTAATTTGACAGCAACGTTAAAGCAGAATGCAAATGCATAATATGAAGACACTGACTGGATACATACTTCTGCATGTGAAGAGTTCCACATTCAGCAATGACATTGATGTTTGAGTCTTTTCCTTTGGAAATGGTAATTAAAAACAAGCCAACCTTCTAGGAATTTCTCATATAATAGGATAAATTTAGCTAGTTTAAATTTTTCTCCTGAATCTACTATGTCCATGGAATTTCTTGATTCAGGAAAGAAATCCAATGTTTATGGAGTAAATGAATTTCACTTTCGGCTAGAATCATCTGTCTTGAATCAAGAAAATTTATGTACACCACCAGATAGGTTCTATTATCTGATGAGAATGATGCTAGCCAAAATCTGTGAAACACAAATTACCTTATAATAGATTAATTATGTAAAAAGAAAAAGTGCATCCAGATTAGGAAGCAGCAGAAAGAAGGTTCCATATATGAAAATTGATACCCAATGAGAGCCTAATATATTTTATAAAGACAGTCCCAGCATGCATCACAAAAGTTTAGACAGATAAAAAGCACAAAAATCTACGACTAAACTGCTTTCCCATCCGAGGCTTAAGAATATAATAAAAAATGAATACCCATAGAAATTCTATCCAAGCAAGATCTGGCGAGGGTAACATATAGTAAAAAAAAAAAATATATATATATATATATATAATAACAGGCATCAGCAGCAACAGCCAATGTGGATGCTGCTGCTGGAGGGATTCCGTGAGGAATCTGAGGATAGGATGTATGTGACAATGATTATCAAGGTATACTGAGGGGTCTGTGCACAAAGATATATTTACCACCTACTGCGATGATATCATGGATGCTGCAGGCTTATACCGCATAAAGACAACCTAACAAGCTGCTAGATAGAACATGATGGTTAACTACAAAAGTAAAATTTACCCAAGCCGTAAATTCTCTTCAACAACTTGGTTGAGTTTTTGATGAAAACCCCCACAATGCTGCACTGGATTGTAGTCTTTAAGTTCCACCTGAAAGTAGGGATGGATTCAAAAAAGTTAAAATGAGTGGCAATCAAGAGAAAAAACAAAGTGTTAATTTTCTCTAGTTCCAAGATAGGTTAATTAAATTAGTACATGAAGTGTTAACAACAAAAAATCAACATCCTAAATTGTACACAATGAACCACAACATTGAGTATACTATTCAAACATGGGGATAAGTAAGGTAAAGAATAAAAGCATTCTCTTCTTACCTTTGACTTTTGCTTTTTGGTAGAGAAGAAGATAGATAATATTCTCATGTAAGTAATCTAACAGTGCTTTTCTCATGCCCAAAAGAATGGTGGAATACAAAACATGAACACAAATTGTTATAATTCTCAAGACAAATCTATTGCCAACAGAATCCCAGCCAGTTGCCAGTTAAACAAGATTTCAGCAGTTAAATTGAGTCTTATGGATGATTGCTTTTCCGAGCTGTTACATATTATACTCACAATTTCACACATCTATTTTCATGTTTAGATAAAGATACAGGAAAAAACAAAGATCTTGGAAGTGTCATATGAATAACAAATCTGCTCATGGTTCCTGTATATTTCTTGTTGTACAAGAATTGCTCAGAGTTGAGGGCTTAGATTACATACAAAGGAATTTGGGAATGTCACTTGAGCTGCAATGTGGCTTTAGGGGTCGAGCATGACCATACAATCCAGTCAGCAATCAAATAACAAAACTAAAGTAATCACAGAATTTGCATGTCAGTACAATTACAGCATTTTCACATCCATGCTCATTCTGCAGTCTGCACAACCATGTAAGGGCACAGACTGACGAGACACTTCATGGAATAGTGTGATACTTCATGAATTCCAGTAATTTGTTCCAAAAATCATCCTAATATTCACAATCCGTGGTAATTTGGGACATATCTTATTCATTATCCTCCATGTGTGAACTTTGAATAAAAATAATTTTCTTGCCTTTCTCTTACATAAATTTGTGTACTTTGAATTTGTAAAAACCAAATAAACAAACTTCTAGTTGATTAATTTAGATAAGCAACTTCTCCTGTTATAACCTAAAATTAATATTTCATATCGGATACTCTGTTGCTTTCTAAAGGGTAGATCATATACATTTAGGAAAATGTTTTTATTTTTTAATGTACAAACAACGTATTAAAGAACCCAAGGTGTACTAAGGGGAGGAGGGTCCTGCTGCACCTAGGCATGCCTCACTTCAATGACTGCCTCGCTTCGGTGTGCCTTACTAAAGAGAGGCACACATAATACATATAAGAAAATTTAGGATTAAAAATTAAAGATGTGCAACTCACACCCCTCAGGTGCACCCCGTGCACCTGTTTGAATGTGCTTCGCATAACTAAGAAAAAAAATCAGTACCCCATTTTCCTAATGCCTCAGCACTTAGACACACTTTTTTAAAACATTGGCTAAGAAAGTACCTGGTCGCTATATTTTTTTTCTCAAAATTATCCACAGACCTATTCTTTATTTTGCAAAATCACATTTTCATTTCACTCCACACATTACCAATTGCATTGCATAACTAAACATTGCATGCTTAGTTTAAAAACTAGAGAGAATTGCTAAAGCTTATGTTGAAGTAAATTAGGATTGACAAGAACGAAGAGTTTAGAGAAAGGTATCAAGAACCAAGGAGGGGCTTCAAGGTGCCTTGATCTAGGGAGGTACAAAGCACAGAACAAGCTTGGAAAGCCCTCTTAGGAAGATTCATGGGCACACCTGTTCACAGGAAGCAACTAAGCAAATTTGCTGAAGGACATGAATATTTCTTTCATTTCTCCTATGCATAAAGACAACAATCCTATCATCCAATTGCAGGAGAAAATAGAATGGGAGCCAGAAAAGTGAAAGATGGTGATTAGCCAGTATGAGGTGGGTCTATGGGAATGTTCCATTTGGTTTATACCTTTATATATCCTTGCGATGGAATGGATGTTATGGAACCATGTAGCTAATCTCCAAATGTTTTTACATTATGAAGGTTAATTCACATTGAGAGTTGCAAATATGGTTAGACAGGAATGAAATCCTTTACTCTTCATAAGCTTCAACCTACAGCAGATGATATATTTGAAATATTGGACTGTGTGGAGAGAAAGCATACTAGAGAGCATTTCCAGAAGATTATAAAGTATCTACAACATTCAGTGACGCAGATTTGAGTGTAATTTTGCTATGAAAGACTAGGCAAATTTTTATATAGCATTCTTATCCAATATTTGTAGAATTAAGCCAGTCACGGTCTAGGAAAAGCTTGACAGTTGACACATCCACGCATTTTAGGCATCATCTTTTAAAATAATTGCAGTGAACCAAGTATTACTAAAAGAGTAAAAGGGAGATCTGGTAGCTTTTCTTAATGTGGTTGAATCAAGAATTTTTGCTGATATCAGTGATAAAATAAAATATATTGTCTAAGATTTACATCTCTAGAGGTGCTAAGTGTTTCCCAATTCACAATTTGGCTGAAGGAGCTTAGCCTTGTATAATTCATTAAGGGTCTAATAACCAAAGACCAATTAAGTACAGTATATCACAACCTGAGTAGTTCCTTCCTAGTAAAAACTTTAACAAGCTTTCTATTGTTGACGTTAAGACAGAAGAGAAGCTATGAGTTAAAATATAGCAAATTATATACATTATTTTTTATTCAGATTCACTCTAGATTAGAAGTAACTTGCATTAATTTTATAAAGGCTATATTAGCCACTTTATTACAGCTAACATAATTTGATAAAATAAAATAACATCACAGAGATCTAAAATAGATTTTACTTTCCAAAAGCTGTCTTCCTTATTGATAAGATTAAAAAACTTGGTGTGGCTAGTACCAGTACGGGAAAAAGAGTCAAAGATTCAAAGAGAGTGATACATGTGGCAAGTGTATCCTTATTTCTCGGTGTTGCTAATACCAGTATGGAGATATAAAATATTCAAACATATTGTATCAAATTTCATATGGCATGAAATACTTTTATTCTTGCACGCTTAATTAGTCCTAGTGTCAGTGTTGAATATTAAGTGATATTCCTCTACAGAGTCTACACAACTTGCTTCTGGGTTCAGCCATTCAGCTAGGGTTAACAGTTCCTTTATCATTGGAAATTAAGCTCATATCTGATGATCTTAGTGCATCAAAATTACAATTGTAGACCAAACTTACCTCCATTAGACACTGTTGAATGCAATGATCAATCTCCTCAGTAATTGAAGAGTCATCTATATTTGCTTCAGGAAAGGGCAAGATTTCCTCAGCTCCTGCAAGCCTCTGCACTAAAGAAGGTTTAGGCTGATATGCAGAAGAACAAAAAATCGAAGCCAATGATATTGGAATTTAAGATTTTAAGAAACAGATTTTTACCCTGAGCAGCATCGGTCCACTTTCAGATGGTTGAAGAATGTAATAGTACATACATGCAGTTTCTCTCATTATCTCTAAATTGCAGAATGACCAGCATATCAGACCCTGATCCATTGACTGAAGTGCATGACACAGCCCCTGGAAAACTACCAATCACAATCCCATTTAGGGGAAGAAGGCACCTTCGATTATAAAACACCTCCAATAAGATACTGAATAGGTATTAACACACAAATGTAATATGGAGAACTTCAAGATGCATTTTGACAATGGAAGTAATTTGCAAAAGATGAAGTGAGACTGTTGCTAGCATACGCACGCCTACTATTCAACTGGTGCAAATCGCTATCTTCGGGAGCAGTATCTGTTTCCTGAGCAACTGATGGGAAGACAAAGTAAGGTCTTCCAACTACCACACCTGTCAAGTTATGTATACCATCAATCAAGAAAGGTACCTAAATTACAAAACCTAAGATAGAAGAAGGGCATTGCAGCATGATTCCTGAATCTCAGTATGTATATTGCAACTCTGATAGCTAAACTAAAGAAAGCTGCTCGTCACAATAATAAATAACACCACTAAAATTTAAAGATTTACAAGTTTCCCTGAGTCCCTGGACACATCAAAATGTGCAATGATAAAAACAGGCGACCTCAACAATATACAGACCAAAACTCTATTTATTATGAGAGGCATTCCAATGTAGAAGTAAGTCGAAATAGATAAGTTCAGCAGAAGAAATTATTTATTTTACAGGTTACTACTTTCTGCCAATTAATGTCAATGCATTTCTGCTGTGGCAGTTTGAAGCACCACATTTCTTCCCTCCATATATCTGATGTCAACAAACCAAATATGACTATTACAGCAAGCAGATACTTGATATATTTCAAGCTTAGAGTCTTTTAATCATGACACTTTCAATATTCCAACTGCAAAATGAAGTTGAAGTTTTCAAGCAACGTGGCATCTATCGCACAATGATGTTAAATATTATTAATTTCTCAAAAACCAAATACCTCGTATATGACATAAAAAACAAATGCCATCTGAGCAAGCATCAGTCATGAGATATTATCAATTGATAAGTTTGTTCACCGGTTCCATCGGTCTTAGGCGGTAACAAGTCACTTATAAGTTGCAAGCAAATGGAAAAAATGTTAAGGCCACTTGCTATTCAAGTTGGAAGCATATTTTATTGCTAGAGAGATATCTTCACACAGCTTCTTTACATATATACCTGAAGAAGGGACAGCTATTGGATTATCAACAAACGGCCAAAAACGAAAAAGATATGAAGCATACCACAAAATTACATATGCCTGGAGAATGGGTTAATAAAAAAATGAAAGTCAGAAATAGCATACTCCAAGCAGGTAGCTTGACCAGAACAGATACATTATCCTAAAAGTTGATTTCTTAGACTTATAGTTTAGTAAATTCAACCTGCTAAATTTTCTTTTCCAAAGATGGACTGAAAACAGAGTGCATAATGTATCAAGAACTGGTCTCTAGTTCTTGTTTTCTCTCTTGCAGAAGATATTTCTAGTCTCAGTATAGTGTAAACTGTTACTATCAATCAAACAAGACCAGATTTTGAAATGACTAGGATGAATCAGAGTTCTAATAACATAATTAACCAGGCGCCACACTTACCTTCATTCAGGGAAGCCAAGCTAGTCCTCTCAATAACATTTAAATTAACAACAGAGGGAACTTGACAGAGATTCTTCCAGCACCGCCACGACATGTCAGCCAGTAAGCCATTATCACCAACGGTCATAGAGCTATTATCAGCATCATCTGGTTCCACATCATAATTTTTGACATGGTACAAAGGACATTCCTTGAACGCGGAACTATTTTTATCGTCCCTTCGGATATCATGACACCTATGCGTCTACAAATTGTAAGAAATTAATAAAATTACCCATCACAATTCTAGTACAATGGACAAGTGCATAGTATGCAGAAAAACTTTATATCAGCTATTGTGGGTTGTATCGAATAAACAACAACAACAAAGCCTTAGTCCCAAAACGATTTGGGGTCGGCTAACATAAATCGTCACAAGAAACCATTGAAACGTTACTTGTGACGATTAATGTTATATTGTTACATCCTTTTTTCAAATATTCTTATATTCAATCGATGTAACCCCTACGTTTTCCTAATTATCTCATTTCTCAACCGAACCTATACTATAATATGACAAGAAAACATATACAGATATACTATACAATGTCTTTCAAAAATGTCCATGTACTACTGACATGTGGACCAGAACCCTCAATAATGCCTCCTCACAATCAAAATGCTAATTTCATGTGAAAAAAAGTGTTTTCTTCCCTTAGTAATACGTATTCCATGAAACCTTTTTCATGATAGGAATGTTTCTTGATGACTTTAGTAATTTAATGGTAGCGAGTGGGGGAACTAAGCTTATCTTTGGGTTCACTTTCATGGGTACATTCACTAATTTGTCAATTACAGATATGTTACGAAATTGGAAGTTCCCTTCCTCTATTTTTTTTTTTTTTTTTTTTTTTTTGGCCTTAAACTTCTGATGGACTATTAGTCCCCCTTCTATAAAGCATTTCTCTGGCTATTGACTCGTTTTCTTTTCTAACACAAAAATGATGACCATGTGAACCTAAAGGCCTTTATTACTAAACTAAAAAAAATAACGCTTTCTCAATATTTTAACTGTCATCCCAAACCATAAGCTAAGGTCATATAGATTTCCACCTAACATGGCATTAGGAGCCCCTCAATACGGTACATACAAACTTTTCTTTCAACTTTAACCATAGTAGACATGTTTTGTTGAGGATGAAGTAAGTCGCGCTATCCTAATAACGCGCAAAGCTATAGAAACAAATTGATTGAACAAAGAGAAACTTGGCCCCATAGATTCAAAATTCCTTCCGTTTCCTCTTACCCTTTCTACCACATGGAAGCAAATGAGGTAAGATGCAAGGTATACTGCTAAGCAGCTTAACCAAAGACAATATGAATACAAGAATCATTATACTGCACAAAGAAAAATTATATTTTAAGCAATGAGTTCTGGGCATAACTGCAAAAGTTAATGCCACAAACAACCATTGTTCTAAATATCTTCCTCAAATAAGAAAAAGCGTAAATGTAAAATAGAATAAAATAACCACAAATATTATTCCAATACACATAATATCTTCGTATCATCATAATTAGCTCTTACTCCTAATCATTCGCCTTAAGCCCCTGAAATCTAGCACATATATAATTTTTGAATAATACAGCCCCATATTGGAATCTTAATACAAGATCATACAGGTTTTATGAGTGGCCTAGCTTCATTTAAAGTACCTTTGTTGAATGAGGTTCACTAAGGCATGAAATATGGCAACCTCAAATGAGAGGATTTTTCAAGAGTAATATGATTCTGTATCTGTTGGATGTTTTCAACAATATATACTCTAATTTTATTTTATTTTTATTTTTTTTTTTTTGGGGGGGGGGGGGGGGGGATGTTTTCAACAATATATACTCTATTTTTTTTTTTCTATTTTTTTTTTTGGGGGGGGGGGGTTTCTACTATATTCTTTCTACGATGTTTTGAATCAATTCTACCACTTCTTTTTTTGGTAACTTAAATGTTGTAACCAGCACTACTCTTTAGTCTTTACTTTACTATAGTCTCTCTCCTGCTTCTTAACTACTCACATGTGTGGACTTATTATTCATATAAAAATTAAGCTATTGCCTCTCTTCTACTTTTCACTACTAACATTAATTGTTTAGACATTTCATTGATATCCTTAACAAAGTAGCCCAAGAGAAATGGTATACCAAAAATCAGGAGGAGTAGAAGATCAGGTAATATATCCACAAGCAAAATGGGAGTCCAAACTCTATATATGTGCACATTTTGAACTTTCATCATGCATTTTATATTTTAATGTCTTGTCACTAAAGTTAAATATGTACCTCACAAAGATTGAACCCATCCATTATCTGGTTTATGGAACAGCACAATCTGCAACATATTCGGTTAACAGAACCAGCAATGCTCTTCTGGAAAAGAAAATTAGCCTCCAACAATTCTTCTGTGCTCTCCGTCAACTCTCTAAGCCATCTTTTTGCCAGGCCGTTAAATACCTGTCCATCTGCAGTTATCCACTTGATAAGGTAGAGTATAACAAACTACATGCATCAAAGATCATGGATGCTTTTCAGCAATGCAAAATCATGCAATAACGTATTCACAAGATAAGATTGCCAGATATATAAGTCAGGTCACTGACATCACTTCCAGAACTATTACTAGGAAGATATTTCTAATTAATCTGGCAAAATGCGATATTTGTGATCGAAAATCCACCTTTGAAGGGAAATGGATAGCAGATAGAAATTTTTTATTATTTGCTTCTTTTATGCTTTGGAGTTGAGGATAGACCCAGCCTAAGAATTCCACACTTCATCATTCAACTAGAGAATTCATTTAGTTCACCTAAAGATTGAGGAACTTAAGCATAAAATGTAGGTAACTAGGTACACAGAGATATATAAGTGGTGAAAAACTGTCCAAAAAAGCATGAAGCTACTTTGGAAAACAAAGATAGAGTTGAAAATGTATAATAGAGAGCACCAATGGGGTAAAAATTGCTGATAAATTAAACCATCAAATCACCATCTCAAAGACAAAGTGCAACAGCTCACCTGGAAGATATGCATTAAACGAGCAGTTTTCAAGATCGCATATTTGTCCTCTAAATTTGTTTATATTTTCTGAGAGGTCACTGAGTTGGCTTGACTTTTGCTCAAGGAACAAAAATTCCACAGATATGCATCTGTCGGCAGCATCCTGTCAAGAGTATACAACAATGATTTTCAAATGGAAAGTATTGACAATCTGCAAAAGATATTAAATCTTTGTAGGGTACCAATCACATTTTACCATGAGAGTCTTTTTAGCATTATAGTCCAGATTTCCTAGTAAACATGAGCTAATAAGAATTAATTTCTTCTCTGAATCTTTGCCACCAGCAGAGTTCAATACTTCATCACTGATGATAAGGTCTGCATATTTCACCAAATCAGCAATAGACACACACACACACACACATGACTGATGTAGGTGGAGCAGAAAGAGAGAGGGGGAGAAAGGGGGGGGGGGGCTTACTTAAAATGTTTGATCCAGAATCTTCAAATAAGGGAGGTGAATAGGAATCGGAGGGCAAGTGGTTGACAGCATAATGGAAATCACGAAGACTGAAGCTATTTCCCCGGGGAGAGTACACAACTTTAAGCTGCTCATGCAAACAGAAACATACTCATTTCAGACACATGTTCAGATTGTTCACACATCTGGGCACTATATTACTAAGCATTAGGTAATTAAGATACAGTAACAACTTTAAATGAGACACATTCAAGATAATTAATCTGTGTGATACTCACGTGCTAGACACTGTTCATATTTTTAGTTCAACCATTTAATGGATTGTCAGATGGCAAACAGCCGACATAAATGCCAACTAATTATAAGAAGTTGTCAAAGTATATAAAAAATTCTAAAGCTTCTCACAACGATGCAAAAGTAGTCATTTTTGACACTTTGTATCAGCAAATTACAATATCCTAGAGAATAAAAGACCAACTTTTGAAGACATTTGATCATAAGCTATTACAGCACTTTGAATCAAACAAAAAGAAGTAACAGCTTAATGATAGATAAATGCCAATGGCGAGTTTGCAACTATGCTATGTGGAAATCTCAAACCTGCTGCTTCAAAATTACTTCTTATTGTAAAACAGCTTTCACATAAAGCAAAAAAAAAAAGACAGTAATAATTAATAATTACAAAGTATCAAATAATCACAGCAATGTAGCAAGACAATTTTATTTTAACATAATATTTACAGAAATTCATCCTGAAATTTGCCAATAAGACATAAATCAAACAAAATACACTACACAATCTTAAATGAGACATGAATCAGGCCAAACACCAATAGCATTCCAATGCTACTCAATGTAATGTGAAATCCTCGTTTGTTGAACTTCAGTAATGGAATAATTCACTAGTTTTGAAACATACATCAAATTGATCAAAACTTATAAAACATTTAAAAGAAAAAACCTAACATCCGGAAAACAAAACTCGAGCATCATAATGTACCTCATCAGAGGAAGAAGCAGCAGAACGTTGCAAGTAACACAAGCCAATGCGATCTTCAATCGAGGAATCAAACTTCCGACGCTTCAATTTCGACGTTGGAGCAGAAAAGGCATACAAATTCGCCAGCTCTAACAAGCACTGATTCACAAACACATCAAAATTTCAACATCAACAAAATTTGTCAAAAAAATGAATTGCAAATCATCGAAATTAAACATAAACAAAATTTACAGGAAGGAAGCAAATTAATGATGCAAATAAACACTGATTCATGAACAAATCAAACATTGAACAACAATAAATCACAAAATCATCGAAATTAAACATAAACAAAATTTACAGGAAATGAAGTAAATTAACGATGCAAATAAAAACTGATTTATGAACAAAACAAACATTGAACATCAGCAAAATTTGAATTGAAAATAAATCACAAAATCATGGAAATTAAACCTAATCAAAATTCAAAAGAAACGAAGCAAAGTAACAATGCAAATAAATTGAAGATAGAGAAAATAATTCGAAGTGGAAAAGGATGAATTGAGGCGTAATGAAGAGGAGAGAGAGAGCTTAACCTGCTTCAGTTGTGACAGTAATGGAGGAGAGAGAGTACGTAAATCGAGAGCGAAAAATAACAGCGCCATTTTTGGATTGAAGTGAGTTCTCTGAATTTTGTTGTAACTTGTAAGAAAGAAGGATAAATTTCGTAGTCTAGGGTTTAAATAGCACAATTTAGTCGGAGATCAAAATTATGCATAAAAGCGCGCCAATGGAAATTAATGCGGTGGTGTCAACGGCATACACAATTTCCAATGCACAATTTAAGTCTTGGACTTGTCAATTCTGGATTCGATAATCCGACCTGTTTTACTAAGAGAAAACCCAAACCCGAAACCTGAAATAGACTCTTTTTTTTAACACAAAAGGGAAAATCATATATTATAGGAAAATTTGTAATTATTAATCCCAACTTTCGCCCATTTCCTTTCATTAATCCCAACTTTCGATTATTATTGAATAATCCCAACTTTGGGGGGCATTTTCTTTTATCAGGTCATGACCGGTCAATAAAAGTCAATGACCTATTATAACAAGTAACTTGACACGTGTCAAGCCCTGAGTGGTCAAAAAAAATTAAAAATTACAAAAATTGAAAAAAAAAAAAAAAAAACCCAAACCTCTCCCTTCCGTTTACCGGACCACCACACCCTAATCCCTACCCTGACATCCCAGCCACCCTTTTACCACCGTGAAACATAACCCCCACCCCTAAACTCGTCGGCCACTGCCTTTGGGCCACCAAAACAAACCGATCGACGAACCCCGACCACCAAAACCACCAGCCGCACCACCACGACCTCTAAAACAGCTGGTTCACGCGAACCTCGGCCCCATTACTACCAGGAGTGCGAATCCCGACCCCCATTACCACCAGCAGCACGAATCTCGACCCCCTTTACCACCCGCAGCGCAAACCTCGACCCTCAAAAACCAACAGCCGCGCGAATCCTGACCCCCAACATCATCAGTCGCGCAACCGCGGCCCTTGAAACCACCGTCCCCTTGAAACCAGCCGCGCGAATTCCCTCCCTCACTCACGAAAAACACCAAATGCCCCTTCCCCACCATGTTGTTAGGGTTTTCGTGAGTGGGGGGGAGATTGGTGGTTTTCGTGAGTGGATGAGGGAGATCGGGGTGAAGGGTGGAGATGCGTTTAGGAGGAGTTGCGGTGCTTGGGGGTTGTTTTCGGCGACGAGGGGTGAAAATGGTGGCTTGGGGGTTGTTGTCGGTGACGGGGGTGAGGTTGCGGCGGTTTTCAGTGGGGTAGGGGAAGGAGATGGTGGTTTCCGGTGGTGTTAAGGAAGGAGGTGGTGGGGCTATGGTGCTGGTGGGTTTGGTTTTTAAATTTTTTTTGTTTTTTTTTTAAAAAAAATCAACTAATGAAATTGCGAAATGTGGCATGTAAGAAAAAAAAAATTAAAAAAATTACCTTTTAATCAGGTCACCGGTCATTTGACCTGATAAAAGAAAATGCCCCCCAAAGTTGGGATTTTTCAATAATAATCGAAAGTTGGGATTAATGAAAGGAAATGGGCGAAAGTTGGGATTAATAATTACAAATTTTCCTATATTATATCATGAAACTACTGATGAATGAAACCATCAGCACAAAAGTATTAGAGTATCTGTCGAAAGAAAACAACAGACCAAAAGTAGGATAATCCGAGGGCAGATAAAACCACTCAAGATTATCCAAGTTAATCCTAAAGCATAAGATAATCCTATTACATATATTGATAATCACTAAGAAAGCAAGATAAAGATAGAGAAAGTTGTTGTTAAGAGCATCATAGGGATTGGAAGGCTGCGGAGGAAGACTAAGGGTTCTTCATTTCAGGGATCTCCAAAGCATATTTTTGGAAGACTTCAGGAGGAGGATAGGTGAATGGAACCGTCTCTCCAGGTTTGTACTTTGTCCTGCCCATAACAGCTAGTCTGTCGGCAACAAAATTAACGCATCTGTTGGCATGGAACACACACACTTCCCAGTCCCTTTCCAAAAGAGAAGCCACATCACGAATAATGTTGCCTAGATCACCATCCTCGAAAGACCTTGTGTCCTTCAGCATCTTGCTAAGGCTGTCAGCATCAGTTTCTAACTCCACAAACTTGATATTTTTTTTCCAGGCAAGAAGTAATCCTTCTCTTATAGCTAAGAGTTTAGCAGAGGCAGCAGTTAGGGCATTATATCTCGAAGCAAAACCTGCAATCCAGAGCCTTTTATCACACCTAATTACCCCTCCTCCACCGGCATTATCAACACTGATCCACGAACCATCAGTGTTGAGTTTGTGATACCCCTTTTGAGAAGGCGCCCAAAGCCTTGGAATCTGAGAAGTAGAGGAAGAAGGAGGATCGATGGCAGCAGCCTGTTGTATTCTCAAACAACAAATATAGTCAACATAGAATTTGTTAAAGGTAGATTGAATAAAGACCATTTTTTGTTCAAAAATACAACATTTCTAGTGTTCCAAATATGCCAAATGGCCACTGTGAAAACCTTTTTCCAGGAAGTAGAATGAGAGAGATTAAAATCCAACCAATCTGTAAGATTAGTATTGTAAAAACGTTGCAAATCAATATTTAAGGATTTAAATTTCGTAAAAACCATAGACCAAAAAGCAGAAGAATTTGGACAATCCCTGAAGAGATGAATAGTGTCTTCAATAGGGGCTTCACATCTCATGCATATAGGATCTAAAAAAATTCAATTTTCTTTTAAGAATGTGAGCAACAGGAAGGATATCCCTAATAAGATTCCAAAGAAGCATTTTATACTTGTAGGGGACCTTAATTTTCCACAAGTTTTTCCAATCAAAAGAGGAAAGAAAAGAAGTATTGAGGTTAAAGGGGGAGAAGTGGAGTTATAGGTTGTCTTAATTGTAAATTGGCCTGAATTGTGGAAATTCCACTTTAATCTATCTGAAACAAGCACAAGCTTAGGCAAAGGATAGGCCAAAATTAAAGGAATTAGATTAGGAGGAAGAATGTGAATAATGCTATCTAAGTGCCATTCATTATTTCTAATAATGTCACAAACACGCCAATGACCTTTAGAATTAGGTATATGAATGTTAGGAAGAAGATAAATAGGGCAATCACCCATCCAATGATGGTACCAAAGAGAGGTGTCTTTTCCATCACCTATATTGACAATAATTCCTTTTTTAAGGACATTTCTTCCTGCCAAAATATCTTTCCAAATAACAGAATCTGAGGATTTAGGAATGTAATCTAAGAAATTAGAATATTTAAGATATTTATTTTGTAAAATGTTTATCCATAACTTATTAGTTTGAGTGATAATTTTCCATCCAAGCTTAGCCATAAAAGAAATATTCCATCTTCTTAAATCTCTAATTCCTAATCCTCATTTGGCCATTGGATCACAAACAACTCCCCAATTAGTTCTAGGAGTAAATTTAGAACGATTAACTCTATTCCAAAGAAATTGTTTACATTTTTTTTTGAAGATCATTTATAACATTCATAGGTAAAATATTAGTTTGCATAGCATAAACCGGATAGGAGTTTAAAACGTATTTAATAAGGGTACATCTTCCGGCCATATTTAACAATTTAGCTTGCCACCCTTTAATTTTAGCACAAGTTTTATCTAAAAGAGGGAAATAATCAAGTTGGTTTAAACGTTTATGGGATATAATAATGCCTAAATATTTACCAAAGTTGGTGGTATTACTGATATTACAAACATCACAAATTGATTTCCTAATATTATGATTCATTTTCCTAGGAAAAATAGCTGAAGACTTAAGAATATTGATAGAAAGGCCAGAGATAGTCTTAAAGTGGTCAAGAACCTCCATCATAGTTTTAATGTTATTAGTGGTAGCTTTTCCAAATAAGAAAACATCATCGGCATAAAAAAGGTGAGAAATATTAATGTCTTTAGCAATTTTTATAAGTTTCCAAGATCCATTATTAACCTTGTCTTGAATCATACTAGAAAGACGATCAAGGCAAAGCACAAAAATATATGGAGAAAGAGGATCGCCTTGTCTTATTCCCCTCGTAGGGGAAAAGGACTTAGTGATCTCTCCATTCCAAAGAAGGGAAATACGAGGGGTACAAATAAATACAACAAAGGATTAGATTGACAATGTTAGGAGGGAGGTTAATACTAAGAAGAGTATCTTTAATAAATCCCCATTCCAAATAGTCAAAGGCCTTTGAAAGATCAATTTTTAGAGCCATGAGATTAGCTTTGTTAGAAGCTTTATTAAAGAGATGGGCAACTTCCTTTATAATAATGATATTTTCTTCAATAGACCTATTAGGAATGAAACTATCTTGAAAAGGGCTTATAAGATCATCCATAATAGGTTTTAATCGGTTAGGAATACACTTAGTGATGAGTTTATAAATAGAGTTACATAATTCTATAGGTATAAAGTCCTTCATAGTACAAGGGCAATCACATTTGGGAATAAGAGAAATATAGGAATCATTAATAGCATTAGGGATTGATCCTTTGGTGAAACAGTCAGATATGAAGTTAGTAATAGAGGAGCTAAGAGAAGACCGGTGATGTTGCAAAAAAATAGGTTGTATGCCATCAGGGAGGGGATTTAAAGGAATCCATTTGAAAAAGTGAAGGAGTTATATCTTCGTCTTGTGCAATTACTAGATATATAAATGGATCAAATTATGGAGATAATTAAGTTCGTACATTTGGGTCGTCGTTTTGCCATATCTAGAGGTACTAACGATCTTTGGACTAGTAAAATAGCCCAAAGCCCAATTGGACGGATCCTATAAGGTCACACAAAGGGGCTAGATCGAGCATTAGAGGACGAGGCCCATCATGGGCCTCATGACTCTAGGTGGCCGGCCATATGGAGTGGACAAGGGAGTTTTTGGCTTCGTGCCCTAGTCTAATTATAATGAGATTATAAATAGACTAGGTGCCTAGGTTTGCAGATAGTAAGCAATTAACTGATCAGTGTGATCAAACCCTAATTAGCAAACACGAAACCCAACCCCTCTCAAAGTCCTCTCTCTCACGGCTCTCCTCCTCCTTATTGGCGCCGGTGGTGTGTCGTGGTGGTGGTGGTTCGTGCGGTGGTCGGTTGTCCATAAAGGTGGTGATCGCGGTTTTCCTCAATCACTCGACCAATCTAGTATTGGTGGACGGCTCGTTCGAATCTCGTGAACTAAGTAGAGGAGCAACGCTT